TCTGGACTGCTTTGAGCTTCACCTAAAAGAATATACAGTTACTAGTTGCTTAAATGCAAAGGGCTCCATTTTCTCGCAGAACAAGGAGCGTGGAGATAGGCAGGTGCTGGTGTTGGCTCAGTGGCTCGATAATGTCTTCAAGAACCAACACTCCATCTTTCCTCTCACCATCCTCACTGTCTGGTTTTTTATTTTTAACCTTGTTGCCTCATGGCCACAAGATGGCAGCTGTGGTTCCAAGCATTTCATCTGTACATAACCCTATTCCAGGTAAGAAAAGGCTAAGCAGGAAAAGGGGATTTCTTATTAGCAGAAAGGAAAATATCCTGAGAAGCACCCCCTTTATCTGTGGCCAGAAATGAGCCACATGGCCATCCCTAGCAACAAGGGAAGGTGTGAAAGCAGATAACTTGGAGATAGGACTGGGGTGGTTACGACCACTTGATCACAGTTCATCCCCCCAGAGTTGGGCACGTTGCTGTTTGAAGAATGTCAGGTTGCTATTGGCAAGGCAGGAGGAAGAATGCCCAAGGTAAACAGAAACAGTGTCGGCTGCAGGGCCAGGAATCAGAAAGGCATATAGAGGAGAGCGCACCAGGCTGGGCTCTTAATTATAAACCACAGAAGCCACTCTGTCACAAACGGTAGATTCTGCTTTGTTGCAAACAGAACTCGCTTTGTTGCAAACAGCAGAGTCTGGGGAGGCCAGGGAAGGAGGCTGGGATGCTGCACAGCCAGGAATCGCACGGCTGGAGCCCCACCCAGCTGCATGGCAGGGAGGCTCTAGTTCAAACCCAGCCACCACTGCAGCCCACCTCTTGGTGGGGGGCTCCGACCGCAACCCCAGCCGAAACCCCAGGAACCTCCACTGCCAGAGGATCGTTCTCCGTGCTCCTGCTAACTCCCGCTGCCCACGTTTGCTTTCAAGTCTCCTGTGCCTGATTGGTGGACGCTGGGTCACGTGCCTGCAAGGGAGCCTGGCAAGTGTGCTTGTCGTTTTTGGGGGGGCAAAGAGGGGCTCACAACGTAGGCCAGTGCGTCAACGTGGAGAGATAAGAACTGCAGGGAGACTTTCTTTGCCAGTTCTCAAAAGAGTCCTCTGAAGTCCTGACCACTTGAAGGCTCCTGCGGACCAGCCAAGGTGTCCGGCAGAAGCAGCGACACACAGGAGTGCCAGACGCCGCAGCCGCGGCCACCCCCAGTTAAGAACGAGGAAAGAAACAGGAGAGACCGAGAAACACACACATGAGTCATCCGCTAGAAACTCCCAGAGACACCTGAGTGCCAGGACCTGCACCGAGCTAGAGAAATGGCCTCGCACGTACGTGCCGGTACGTGGCGGGTGACCCCCACAAGGACTAAATTTCCAAAGGTTGCGGCGGCTCCGGACCGGGCCCAGTGGCGAGATGACAAGCTGTTATGAGAAGCAGACACAGAGACAAGTTCGCATCTTGGCTCTGCCGCTTACACATTCCCTGACGTCTGGGGTCTTGTCTGCACAACTGTAAGAGACCATGCTGGTTCCTCCACAGGGACATCCCCGCCACCCCGGTCTGTTAGTGCAGGAATGGGGAGTCCCTGACACCCGCTTCTCCAGGATGGGGGAGGGGAGCAGGCAGGGGGACCCTCATCCTTACAACCAGCCCAAGAAGGCGGGGCTGTGGCAGGCGGAATTTGGGCCCCTCGATCTCTACCACCCACGTTCCTCCCGCGCTTGTCATCTCACATGGCGAAGGAAACTTCGCAGACGCCACCCAGGCTATTCGCCAGCTCACCTCACCATAGGGAGATTATCCTGGACTGTCGGGGCGGCCCCATGGAGTCACATGGGCCTCACAAGCAACACAGGAAAGCAGAGCAACTCGAAGCGCCAGAAAGGTTCCAGGGGGCTTCGCTGCCCTTGAACTTTGGAGGGGTTTCGTGAGAAGACTCTGAATCCTGCCAGCAACTAGGGAGCTCGAAAGAGGACCCAGACCCCAGGGGAGAGCCTGACCGCAGCCTCGCCAGGCCCTGAGCCGAGAGTCCCCCACGCCCTGCCCGGCTTCCGACCCACTCCACTGCGAGACCAGACGAGAAGCGGGCGTGGTGTTAAGCCACCCATTGTGGCTTCCTAAAAGGGCCCCGAGGCTCTTCCTCAAGCAGCAGAAGGAAGCTGAGGCAGAAGCGTCATCCCACTTTCTAGTTCTTCGAGTTTCTCAGAAACTGTGAGCTGACCCGGCTACACAGCGAGTGGCGGGACGGATGATTGAGCCCCAGTCCTCGGTGCTGGAGCCCGAGCTGTCGCTCTCCCAGCCAGCCTCTCCGGGTGAGGACGCTGAGGCCCTGGAGGCCCTGCCGTGTCAGCTTCCCAGCGTCTCCGCAAGGAGGAGGTGGCCCCAGGCTGCGGCCGAGTCCCCAGCCGTCTGTGTGTGCGCCGCCCCTCGAGCCCCACAGAGCCCCCGGCGCTACGGCATCGCCTCCTGAAGTCTTTTCCCAGGTGTGGGGTGGTCCGCTGGCCACTGAGGCCCTTCTGGTCCTGAGGGACTCCACTTTATCCCCTAACTTCTCTGACCCAGGCTCAGATTCAGGGGACACTTGTGCCCCACGAGCCAGAGCAGACACAGAGTTCAAAGATGTGGTCGGTTTGCCTGACACAAGTGTTTTAAAAAAAATCCTACCCTAGTGTTTAAAATTGTGGCGCTTCATACTAAAAGCCAGGTTGCTAACATCTGGAGAATCGGAAGCTCTGGCCACACAGAGCCCACCTTGCCGCGCGGCAGCTGAGGCTGGAGCCGAGGGGCTGCGTGTCCTGGTGGAGCATGAGCTCTGGAGTGCCGCAGTCCCCACCGCCCCCTGTCGCCTCCCCTCACTTCCCTCGCCTGCCCGGATCCTTTAGGCCCGGCTTCATTCTATGACCTTACCGGTCTGCCCCTGCCCTGCCCAGCCCTGGGGGGCCCTGGGGAGGGGCCATCTGTGCCCACCGGCATCAGTTCCCTGGGCCTGAACTGGCCCCCGCACTTCCTGGTGTGGGTCTAAGGGCAGGTGACAACGCCCACCTTCCCTGCCCTGGTGAGCCCACAGGCCCCTTGGTGCCTACCGGGCAGCAGCATTTGGCCAAAAGGGCAACTGAGAAAGGTGGACGTGACCCCCCCACCCCACCCTTCCCATCCCAGCCCCTTCTTTCCCCTGGGCAGCTGCCCACGTCCACAGCCCCCCACCCTCCACCGCCGGACAGAAGGATCAAAACCCACTTTGTCTTCAGCCCCTGGGCTTCTAGGAGAAGCCCTTGTGACAGATTCCCAGGCGACACTTTGCTCCCTTCACCGCCCGCTGAAATGCTGGTGCGGCAATGGAAGAGACAAGAAATGAGTTGCAAAAGGGGAGAGGGAGGTGGAAAAATTAAATTTTGCGTGATCAGCAAGGTTTCAAACAATCGCTCGCCAACTGAAGTGGGTGCCACGTCTATAAGTCATTCTGTTTTATAGACCATTAGGATCTCCAGAGAGAACCTGCATGGAGACCACTGCTTTTTGTTGAAATTAAAATGTCAGAGAAAAAGAAATAGAACAAAACAGGGAATCTGCAATTAATTACCAGGCCATAAAAATTCAATAATCAGGAGGCAGAGCGGCCGCGGGCCCAGAGGTATCAGAGCCAGCGTAACAAGAATGGAATACATTAATCTTTTCAAATTAGTTTTTTAATCTGACGGGGATATATGGTGACATGCCTCCCCTCCCTGCCTGCCCCGCCTCCACGGCTCCGGCCTGAAGCCAGGCTGGGGGAGGGCGGTTCTGGTGGGCGCTGGGACGGCTGCAACCCACACGCCCAGCCCGGAGAGGCCCGCTGCGGCCCCCGCTGAGCCCAGGCCCCGCGCGGCTGCCTGGCGGGGACGCCTGCAGAAGCGCCAGGAAGGCCTGTTCCCACTGGGTCCCAGGGAGCAAGAGGGGCTGTGGGTGCGTTCCCTCTTTTGGCTGGTGGGGCCAGAGGGTTGCAGAAAGCAGAGTCTGGGAGTAGCTTGGAGAGGTGCGAGCTCTCGGAGCTTCCCTTTCCGCCTTTGGAAAATGGGAAGAAAACCACAGCCTCACAGGGACTGGGTCCGGGTCCCCAGCAGGAGGTCAACAAAGGGCCCCTACTGTTACTATTCTTCCTGCTACCGCGGGGCACCACCTGGACACTATTCAAAGAGCATTTACTTAGCGCCTGCTGTGTGCACACAGCAGCCTCAGTCCTTACCCTGGGGAATGGGACTCACAGTCGGGTCCCAGAAACATTTACATGGCCAAGCAGGAGGCAGGGGTCAGAGAGTAAAGGGCCAGGAGCTTGCCCTCCGGGCGGGGCCGCTGGCCCGGGCCCAGGAGGAGCAGAGAGCGGCGTCCGGCGACAGCCACTAGTCCGCCCCGCCCGGGCCCCTGCGAGTGGAGGCCGCGCCCTCGGCTCCCAGCCTCGCCCAGCCTCGCCCTGACGCCCTCCGCGAGGCTGCGGCGCCCACAGCTCCCATAGCCCAAGGCCAAGTTTCCGGCCTTGACTCCACGTACGTGCTGCGGCCTCGCTGGCGCCCAGCGAGCCAGGCCTGGGCCGGACCCCGACTGGGCCGGACCCCGACTGGGACGCCCCCGGGTGACGCCCGGTGCCTGGCCGGTGCTGTCACCAGATGGCCGCTCAGGGGCCACCGGAGCCACCCAGGGACGCCCGCAGAGCCTGGTGACCTTCTGCCCTCGGGCTCCTTTTACGCGCAACTTTTCCAGCGCTCTAAGCGCCTGGCCCCCGGCAAGTCCTTCATCTGCACTTCCTCGTCTGAGCCGCGTTGCACAGACGGGGTCCTCAGGCGGGTCGCCGGCCCGTCCGTGCCGCCAGAACCGCGTCTCGCTCCCCAGCCTGGCACACAGCAGGCGCCCGGCCGGCGGCTGGCTGGAACCCTGCCCGCCTGCCTCGCCCTCCAGCTCTCCCTCCGCGGCGTCTTCGCCCGACCCGCGGTCGCAACGCGGAGGACTGTGGTCTCTATTTTGCAGAAAGGAGACTGAGGCTCAGAGAGACTGACAGGCCCAAATTCAGACCCCCGTGTCGCCTGGCACGCAAGGGCAGGATTCGAACCGCCAGGAATATGGTCTCTGCTCCCCACTGACCAGGTCTGCCCCAGGGTCCCTGCACCCCATCTCCGGGCTGCGGGCCCATGCCAGGTCCTTCGCTCCTTCGACCTGGGCCCTCAAGCATCTCCCCCAGGAGGCCTCCCTGACTCTCAGTCCCTCTCTGGGTCTTTCAATTTGTGTCACTTGCACTGGTTACTATCTGGTAACTTACACTGACGCCCTCCGCACACCCTCACATCCGCACAGGCCCCGGGGCCTCAGCAGAACCGGTGGCGAGGAGAAAGGAGCGTAGCCAGGAGGGGCGTTAGACTTGTGCTCCGGGCCCCAGGCCCTGGGACCGCGGGCGCAGGCGGAGAACGCACATCTGGGTGCGGGGCCTGCTCCGGGCCGGGGCGCAGTTCTGCGCGCAGCCACCAGATGGCCCCGGCGCGCCCGGGCAGGGCTTGCAGTAAGGCGCCGTGGCCGCCAGATGGTGCCCGAGGCCGCGGCTCCGCGGGCAGTGCCGGGACAAGGCGGAGCCGGGCGGGCCTGCGAGCCGAAGGCCGCCCCGGTAGCTCCGGCGCACGTGACCTGCCACCGACTCCTGCCGCCTGCTGCCCGCGCCATGGCCCAGCCCGTGCCCCGGCTCTCTGTGCCCACCGCGCTGGCCCTGGGCTCGGCCGCGCTGGGCGCAGCCTTCGCCACTGGCCTCTTCCTGGGTGAGCGAGGCCGGGCTGCGGCGCCCCGCGGAGACCCCGCGAGCGGGCGGGCGGGCGGGCGCGGTTAGAATCCTGTCCTTGGGTGCCCGGAGAGCCCGCGAATCCGCGCGGCCCTGGGTAACACTGGCGCCCCGGAGCCGCGGGCCCTGACCCAGCAGCCCTCCCTGCAGGGAGACGGTGGCCCCCGTGGCGACTCCGGCGAGAGCAGCGCCTGCTGCCCCCCGAGGACAGCCCCCTGTGGCAGTATCTGCTGAGCCGCTCCATGCGGGAGCACCCGGCGCTGCGGAGCCTACGGCTGGTCAGCGGGCGGGGGGCGGGAGCGCGCGTCCCCGGGCCCGCGGGCCCCACGTGGCTGTGCGCTGCGCGGTGGCCCTCTCTGGGCTTCCCGCTTCCTGGGGCGGGGCGCGGGGGACGTTCCCCGAGGGTCTGGCCCCGCTAGGTCCCCCTCCACGCCGCGCCCTCAGAACCCTGGGCGGGGGAGGCTGTCCGGGCTGGTGCCACCCTCTACCTGCACACAGCTGACCCTGGAGCAGCCGCGGGGCGAGTCCATGATGACCTGTGAGCAGGCCCAGCTTCTGGCCAACCTGGCGCGGCTCGTCAAGGCCAAGAAGGCGCTGGACCTGGGTAGGGCGCGCCGCCGGCGTCCCTGGGGCGGAGTCTCCGGGCTGCCCCCCGCTCGGCTGAGCCTGTCCGTGTCCCTGTCCCCAGGCACTTTCACGGGCTACTCCGCCCTGGCGTTGGCCCTAGCGCTGCACCCAGACGGGCGCGTGGTGACCTGCGAGGTGGACGCGAGGCTCCCGGAGCTGGGGCGGCCCCTGTGGAGGCAGGTGAGCGTCCCACGCCACTGGGGCCCGTCTGCTCCCGGCGAGGGGGCGCGCTGGCTGACCCCAATGCCTCCGCAGGCCGAGGTGGAGCACAAGATCGACCTTCGGCTGAAACCTGCCCTGGAGACCCTGGGTGAGCACCGCAGCAGGAAGGGCCTTGGCGCCACTTCCCAAATGGGGCCACTGGGCGCGAGCTAGTGACCAGGTCTGCTGGGCGGGTACAGGGCACTGATAACGCCCCCCTGCAGTCGCCCGGCCTCACGGCATGCGGCCACGTGCAGCACCGGCAGGGCCGGTGTCCCTGAGTGGCCTGCCCCCGTTGGCTGCAGTCGTCACAGTGCCCATGCCGGCCTGGGCAGGGGCTTCCAGCCGCCGACTGCGGACTCAGCCGCATCTGCCCCTCCCTCCCCCGCAAGACGAGCTCCTGGCGGCCGGCGAAGCCGGCACCTTCGACGTGGCCGTGGTGGACGCGGACAAGGAGAACTGCACCGCCTATTACGAGCGGTGCCTGCAGCTGCTGCGATCGGGAGGCGTCCTCGCCGTAGTCAGTGTAAGGGGGAGGAGCTAGCCCCTCTCAGGGCGGGGTCCAGCCTTGCCCCTTGGCCCCGCCCTATGCCTCAAAGCCCCACCCGGCCACCCTTGGGCTCCTCCCCGGGCAGGACTCAAGCCAGCAGTCGCAGGCTTTCCTCCCCCTGGGTCCTCGGTCTCCAGCTCTCGCCCCACCCCCTGCCCAGGCACCTCCCTCCGAGGCCGCGCCCCTCCTGATGGCCGCCCCTCCGCAGGTTCTGTGGCGCGGAGAGGTGCTGCAGCCTCCAAAGGGGGACGTGGTGGCCGAGTGCGTGAGAAACCTAAACGAACGCATCCGGCGGGACGTCAGGGTCCACATCAGCCTCTTGCCTCTGGGCGATGGTCTCACCTTGGCTTTCAAAATCTAGGGCTGGCCCCTAGGGAGTGGGCTTGAGGGAGGGAACCTGGGAACCCCAGGCATTGATCCTGAGTTTTAAATCCAACAATAAAGTGGGGCTGGGACACACGAACTCCTGAGCCTTGGTACATGGCACTGAATGGGAGAGGGGAGGGAAGCCCAGCGCAGCCTTCTCAGTGAAAGAGGGCCTTGAGGTCACGGCTGTGCATCTCTCCCTGGAGCAGTCCTGAGAACCACCTGATGCCAGTGCTGTGGCCCAACCGCAGGAACCACCAGCTGGCAGGAAGCAAGTTATAAAGTTTTAATTGTCTGGGCCACATGCAACAGGCAGATCCCAGCTCCACTCAACAGATGAGGCCGGTCAAGAACCCTTTGGTCTCCCTCCAGGCAGTTCTTGTTCACTGCAGCTGGAGGGGAGACCAGGCCTTGCAGGGGACCAGCTTGTCAGGAGTACTCTTGCAGGTTACACCAGTTCTACTGGCAGTTTGCCCAAGCTTTCACACCACCTCTGTACTGGAGGCCCTAGTCAATGGACATGACTAAGAATGGTCTAAGAACCAGGCCCTAGACCTGAGGACCTCAAGGTTGACTTGAATATATATCCTGCCCTCCCACTGAAGTCCGAGGGAAGGTGAGGGGGAGCACTGGTCAGGAAGGTGTGAGGCAGACAGGCCCATCAGTGGCAGACCATCTGTATGGCAATTTTTAGCATGTTCCCTATAAGAGGACAAAGAGAACTTTACACTTTCCAGCACCACCTATGAGGAGAGGTGGAGAGAAAGCCAGGTTTTACTGAGCACCATCCAACCAGGTGCTTTGCTTCTCTCATTTCAATCTCCCCTATGCCACAAGAAGATCTCTGACTCTCAGGTGAAGGTCAGGTTCTTGCCACTAACAGTGCCTCAAGCAGTAATGGCATTAGCATTGGAATACAAGTAGCCCTGGTGGAAGTACACCAGGATTGCTGGAAGCAAGGCCACCGAAGCCACATGAGCCCCCACAGCTAGTGACTTTCACAGTCCCTAACTGGGATACCCCTTGCATTCTGGACCATCCCCAGGTCCCTGGCTGTAAACCTACATTCTCTCTTGACTCAGCATATTAGGATGCACAGGGGCAAATAGGTCCAATTTACTCTAAGCAGATCCTTGATAACTAGGAGAACCACTGGTTAACTACCGGGCAAGCTGGCCCCTGAGACCAGGTTTCCTCCCTGCAGGGCACCACCAGCAATGGTTTGAAGTTTGAGTTATCTGCTGGTCTACACATTTCTCTTATGTACTCTGATTACAAGACTTCTAGCTTACATGGACACTTTTTCATCTGTTTTTCTTCTTACCTAGCCTATAGCTCCCCACTCAAGTTGGTTCAAATTCCAACCTTCTGTCATTAAGTCACCTGTCTGAGCCTTTCAAGCTTCTAACTATTCTTCAGGCCTAGTATTGCAGATTTGTTGAAAAAACCTCTCCCTTTAACTTTTGATCATATCCTTCACACTATCTCCTCCCAAAAGAAAACTTGGTCTTTCCTGCTCGTCCAACCAGAATCACCTATTAGTGCCTACCACTCATGTCCAGATGAAGGCCTCCACCACGTGGCCTGAAGGGGTTGCCTCTGCTCGCACCCTAGGCTCAGCTTTTCAGTGTCTGCCTGGAAGGAAATGAGCAATGACCTCTTGCTAGGAGCCATATTCTTCCCCACAGTCCCCCAGGTTATTGACACTCTCTACACCTTACTCCCATTTCCCTACACCTAATCTCACACCTAATCTCACTCCACTAAGCTAGGGCCTAGCTCATTTCCAGTAGCAACAGCTCTCACAAGGTTATGATGTTGACTTGTATAATCAATCTTTCAACACCATGCGTGCATTTTCCTTTGTCACTTACTCTCCAACCCTTCCTGGGGCTAACAATGATACAACGTAATTCTGTACAAATTTACAAACTGAAGAGTATAAAGCATGTATCCTCTTATTTTATTATAGTCTTAATTTAAAAGCTCATGTAATTATTCTAAGAACACAGAGGACTCTGTGGCACAGATTTAGGTAAAGAGCAAAATGCTCACTGGAAAAATAAAGTCCTAGCTAGATACAGGGGAGATTTGATCCTAGCTGGCAAAAATGTTTAACTTTGCAAATACTTGGAGCCATTAATTATGTATACTTGTTTTATTCATAATTTGTAATGTGCTGTGATACCAAAAGTAATTCTAATGATGGCTGAATTTAACAAAAATGTTTTAACCTCATCTTAAAACATCCACTGATCCATCTCGTTCAATGGCAGTACTCAATGTTTAAAGGAACATAAAAACAAACATGCACACAATTGCACAGTTTTCATAAAGGTCTATTTCATTATTGGTGGGTAGCGCATTTAACAGTTAAATACATTTAAATAATGTATAGGTGACTGCTCAACCGCAGCATTGGTAACTAGATAACCAATTCAACTAGAAACCAGCTAACAAGTAACTGTCTAAATATTTAAAATACAGCTCTTGTTTAGATCATCCTTTGTTTTGATCACCTTCTTTGGGGGAAAAAAAGCCTGCTGGTCACAATGGAAATATATTAAGGCCAAATCTTCTGATTCCATTCCCAAAGGTTTCTCTTCAGCTGGATTAAGCCTCCAACTCCAGGGCAAGCCCAAGTTTGTGGCCTCCAGCATTAATGCTCTTCCCATCTACCAGAGCAGACAGTGTAAGCTTCACACCTGTAAACAAAAGCAAACCACCATGACATACCTCAAACACCTATGTCAAACACCGGAGTCTTCTTTAATAACCACTCAGAGACTGCCTGTCAGTTGACCTACTAATGCCAGCCACAAGACACTGCTTGGAAGGATCTGAGGTATCAGAAAAACTGGTGGAAAAGCACCATCCTAGGTAAGGCACCAAGTCCACAGCATGAAAACGTTAATAAATGATAAGTTCAAAGTGTTCCAGATAATACAATAATGTTCAATATATTATCTAGACTAAAAGGAAAAAACTACAATAAAGAGACATTTGGGGCCGGGCGCGGTAGCTCAAGCCTGTAATCCTAGTCCTCTGGGAGGCCATGACAGGCGGATTGCTCAAGGTCAGGAGTTCGAAACCAGCCTGAGCAAGAGACCCTCTCTCTACAAAAAATAAAAAGAAATTAATTGGCCAACTAAAAATATATACGAAAAGTTAGCCGGGCATGGTGAAGCATGCCTGTAGTCCCAGCTACTTGGAAAGCTGAGGCAGAAGGATTGCTTGAGCCCAGGAGTTTGAGGTTGCTGTGAGCTAGGCTGATGCCACGACACTCTAGCCCGAGCAAGAGAGTGATACTCTTGTCTCAAAAAAAAAAAAAGAGAGACATTTGGGAACAAGTGGGGAAATCTGAATATAGACTAAATATTAGGTATTATTGTTAGTTTTCTTAGATGTGACAACGGTATTGTGGTTATAAAGAAAAATGTCTTACTCTTAGTTCCTGCATGCTAGGGCTAATGTGTCTATATGGCCGCAAAACATACATTTTTTAAAAGCATATGTGGAAAAAAAAGGTTCACAGAGAGATAAAACAAATGTGGTAAATATTATATAATTGGTGAATGTGGGGAAAGTGTATATGTGGGCTCATTGTACCATTCTTTCAACTTTTCTTTAGGTTTCAAAATAGTCAAAGTTTGGAGGGGGGAAAAGTTCCCTATACCTTTTAGAACCTTGCTGGTCAAATGGTCCAAGAACCATAAACACAGGCACCACCTAGGAACTCCTTAAAAATACAGAACCCCTCTCATGCCAGACCTAGTAGATCAGAACTTGCCTTTTAACAAGACTTTCAAAGTGAGTGATGCACACACTGAAGTTGAAGAGGAACTGGTCAAGAAAACACAGCAAGGTTCTAAATATTATGTACAGTAAACAAGACTACACACAGAACCAAAGCAATGAGTGAACTCTGATTAATGAAATAAAAATTACTATAAGACATTTCAGATAGAAGTGAGGAAACTGAATAGGGAACAGGTATTAAATATTAATAAGGAATCACTGCTAACTTTCTTAGGTGTGATGACAGCATTGTGGTTATGCAGAACACAGGTTCATGTTCTGAGGAGAAGCATCTGGGGGACGTGCCACGATAGCTGCAAGTTCCAAATGGCCCAACAAAAAACAAAAAGGAATAAAAAATTGTGGCAAAGGTAAGTATGTATTTCTTATACTCCTAACTCTGTATGTTGAAAGGTTTGCAAAATAAGCTGAAAAATGAAAACTATTTAAAAATACTATCAAAACAATCCTGCTTGATCAAGAATACTTACCAGTCCTCAGAGTTTGAGTGTAGCCCACTCCAATTAAACTAGAGTTGTTGACTTTTGCCTAAAATAAAATTTAAAACCAATCATTAAAAAAATATATTTGAATAGAGCGACAAAGCCCCTGCATATTTTTCCATCATGTAATTATGATTCAGCTTTTTTATTCACATGAGCTAATACAAATTTAATATCATATATTAAAACCAAACAAAAATCAGGTGCACTTAATTTCCATTCAACTCAAAATCAAACTGTCAGGACATGATACTCATGATAAACATCAGAATGTGTCTAAAGACCTCAAACTTCCCATACAGCACAAGAACCTAACCACTCTCATAAAAATTCCTTGTTGAGTCTAGTCTGGCACAACGAAAGCAGGCCAAAATGTAGCTGTTCTCCAGGCTCACCAGAGATGACACACACTAGTCTCCAAACATAAGGCATTTAAATCTGTGACTTAGTTACACACATTACTACTTTCAGGGCTCTTCCTAAAGAGCCAAAACCATAAATGTTAGAAAAATCTCCAAATGACAAGTACTTCCTCTGAATGAATCAGACCAAGTAACAATCCTTTACCTCACATCCTCATACCTCTCATTAATGCTGTTGGTTTCTCATGTGTAACCAGACTGTGCTTGAGAGGAGGTTCCAATGGAGCATCATTTACCAATACGGGCCCTGCCTTCCTTGCATAATCCTAACATTTTAGGATTTAGTTAGAGACCTTCAAGAGCTGGAAGGTATGCTGGAGAACAAGACATGTTACAGCGAAGCTCCTCCTAGCTCCATTCTCTACCAACAATAAGTAACACCAGATGCCTATGACTACAAATGGGGACACCTGCTCCATCTCCAAGGCCTAAAGTTGCCTAGACGGGCAACTTTAATCCTCAACATTAAGGTAACAAACAGCCTCTGTGAGCAAAACAGACTTGGAAGAGTGATTAGATGTTTAAACTCTCATAATATTTAACATCAAGACAGTTGGATACAAGTTCCTATTATTTAACAGTGGAAGTTGACCATGGAACCACTGTGATAGTAGGAAACACAAACTCATTTTCTCCCACTATATTCTCACAAGATAGAGGTTCTCCACACATCAAGCAAGCAATCAATTCTGCAACAGACACCAGCTGGGTGTCCTCTAACTGAATTCAATCCCAACACTACCTGGAGACAGCATCAGATCCCACAGGTTGAGGGCTCAGTCCCACAAGACTGCCCTCCACTTATGATGCCAGTTGCAAGCTCCAGGTTGTTTTACCTGTGCTTCTGACAGACTGGCTATAAACTGAGGTTCCCTCCTTGGGTTCAATTAATATGCTAGAGCAGCTCACACCATTCAGGGACCACTCATTTATACTTTCTGGTTTATTTATTTATTTTTTTTTTTTGAGACAGAGTCTCGCTTTGTTGTCCAGGCTAGAGTGAGTGCCGTGGCGTCAGCCTAGCTCACAGCAACCTCAAACTCCTGGGCTCAGCCTCCCGAGCCTCCTATTGCCTCAGCCTCCCGAGTAGCTGGGACTACAGGCATGAGCCATCATGCCCGGCTAATTTTTTATATATATCAGTTGGCCAATTAATTTCTTTCTATTTATAGTAGAGACGGGGTCTCGCTCTTACTCAGGCTGGTTTTGAACTCCTGACCTTGAGCAATCCGCCCGCCTCGGCCTCCCAAGAGCTAGGATTACAGGCTTGAGCCACCGCGCCCGGCCTACTTTCTGGTTTATTATATAGGACTTTTTAGTTTGTTTTTTTTTTATTATTTTTTTTTCTTTTTTTACTTTCCATTTTGCAGATGAAGAACTTTTTAGTTTTTACTGATTATTTTTCCTTAAGAGACAGGCTCTCACTATGGGCAACATAGTGAAAGCCTGAATTTGAACTCCTGGGCTCAAGCAATCCTCCCCCCCTCAGCCTCCAAGTAGCTGGGACTAAACACAAGCACCACTGCAGTCATATTTTAAAAGATATAAATGAACATCCAGATGAACAAATACATAGGACAAGTTCTGGAAGGGTCATGAGTGCAGGAGCTTACATCCTGAGTTGGGGTGTGATATTAACACCTGCCCAACACATGGTTGTGTTCTTGACTACCTACCTCCCTTGGAAGGCTCCTGAACTCAGTCCTTCTGGGTTTTTATGGAGGCTTCATTACATGGGCATGACTGATTAAATCACTGGCCATTGGCTCAACCTTCAGCCCTTCTCCCCTCTCTGACCAGAATCCCAACCTTTAAACACAAGGCTGTTTTCCCTAGCAACCAGCCCCTAACCTATGGTTATCTAGGGACTATCCACAAATCACTTCATTAACATAAGCTCAGCTGAGGGTGAAAGGGGCTCTTTAAATGTAACAAAAGACTATCTTTCTTTCACCTGTCACTCTGGAGATGTTTCAGGTACAAAGGACAAAAGGCCAAATATTTTAACACAAGATACTCTTACTGCTCTAGTCACTTAGGAAATTACAAGGGTCATAGAAGCTCTGAGCCAGCCCGGCGTGGTGGCTCACGCCTGTAATCCTAGTACTCTGGGAGGCCGAGGCGGGCGGATTGCTCGAGGTCAGGAGTTCAAAACCAGCCTGAGCAAGAGCGAGACCCCGTCTCTACTATAAATGGAAAGAAATTAATTGGCCAACTAAAAATATATACAAAAAATTAGCCAGGCATGGTGGCGCATGCCTGTAGTCCCAGCTACTCGGGAGGCTGAGGTAGAAGGATCGCTTGAGCCCAGGAGTTTGAGGTTGCTGTGAGCTAGGCTGACACCATGGCACTCACTCTAGCCTGGGCAACAAAGCGAGACTCTGTCTCCAAAAAAAAAAAAAAAAAAAGCTCTGAGCCAGGAATTGTGGAGGAAATCCAAAATATATACATCGTAACATCATAGGCCACCCCCTGGGTTTCAAACATAGATCCCTTACAGCAAAGGGATCCTTTCTGTGAGAGCATTTACATTTGTTGTTAGCATTTATAGAACAGATATATCAAGAGTACTAACACAATTATGCATAACATTTGGAGAAGCCAGTGGAGTAGGGACAGATTTTGTGCTATCAAGTGAGAAAGAAAAATAGCTCAGAACAGTCTGTGGAATGTGAGGCATGCAAAACCTATCAGGCCCACAGATGTGTTAGACTGAAGTCACACTCCCACCCTACCCATGCCCAAGGATATTTAAAGGCACTTGTTCTTTCTTCCAAATAAATAGTTTCCAGCCTAGCTGATAAAATACCTAAAATGTTGCTCAATATGATCTTCACCCATTATCTTCACATTTCTGGAATTTGTGATAAAAAGAACAGTATATAGCCAATCACTAATCAATGTTATTTCTGTATACCAATGAAAATTCCTGACGAACCACGCCTTTCCCCCTTTTTGCCTTTAAAAACCTGTTTGTGGGCGCGGTGGCTCACGCCTGTAATCCTAGCACTCTGGGAGGCTGAGGCAGGCGGATTGCTCGAGCTCAGGAGTTCAAAATCAGCCTGAGGAAGACCCCATCTCTACTATAAATAGAAAGAAATTAATTGGCCAACTAATATATATATATACACACACACAAAAATTAGCCGGGCATGGTGGCGCATGCCTGTAGTCCCAGCTACTCGGGAGGCTGAGGCAGAAGGATTGCTGAGCCAGGAGTTTGAGGTTCTATGAGATAGGCTGCCGCCACAGCACTCACTCTAGCCTGGGCAACAAAGTGAGACTCTGTCTCAAAAAAAATAAATACATAAAGAAATAAAAATAAAAACTGTTTGTGCACCTGTAATCTTGCACTCTGGGAGGCTGAGGTGGGAGGATTACTCAAGGTCAGGATTCAAAACCAGCCTGAGCAAAGCGAAACCCGTCTCTAACTAAAAATAGGAAGAAATTAATGGCAAACTAAAATATCTAGAAAAATTAGCCAGACGTGGTGCACGCCTGTATCCCAGCTACTGGGAGGCTGAGGCAGATTGCTTGAGCCAGGAGTTTGAGGTTGCTGTGAGTAGGCTGACACCACAGCACTCTAGCCCGGCAACAGGTGAGACTCTGTCTCAAAAAAAAACCTGCTTGTAATAAAAAGGCAGATGGGAGCTCATATCCAAGGTTACTTGGATCTGTCTTTACCAACAACTGTCCTCCAGTTTGACTCAAGTAAACTCTAAAATTATAATTTTGTGCTTTGGTTTCTTCCTTTAGGTTGACAGAAGCCATTTCAAAAGATTTTCATATTCTTATACTAGCTTTATTACTCTTTTCCCCTTCATCTGTTATTTGTACCTTGTGCAGGACTAGTCAGCACCAAATAAGCTAGATCTAGTTCCTCCCAGGACAGTCCTTTCCATCCTAAGGAGGCTTTAATTCACTTTCCAATACATGTGATCAATACCACTATATTCATAGTTACATGAAGGAGTTCAATCTTACACAAACACACAGTATTATACCATATGCAGTTATTATGGTCCAAATTGCAATCAGTAAAATTAGGGAGGTTTTGGGGTTTTTTGCCTTCCCAACAGAATCTAGCCTTGCCTATGGGTCAACCTTTATATTCATTAATCAGCCATTACCCCCAGGCAATTTAAAATCAGGTTTCCTCAATGTAATCTCCTGCCTTCTGACTTTTTAAATTTCTTCAAACTGGGTAAATACAACAAACTTGTTTGGAACCCCTCCACCCAACCCTTAATAGTGCTGTATGAAGACCTTTGTTTTAAGTCCATTAATTTTTTTTTTTTTTTGAGACAGAGTCTCGCCTTTGTTGCCCGGCTAGAGTGAGTGTCGTGGCATCAGCCTAGCTCACAGCAACCTCAATCTCCTGGGCTCAGGAGATCCTCTGCCTCAGCCTCCCGAGTAGCTGGGACTACAGGCATGCGCCACCATGCCCGGC